TTCTCCCTCTCCCACTCCCCCTGCTTGTGTTCCCTCTCTCGCTGTGTCTCTCTCTGTCAAATAAATAAATAAAATCTTAAAAAAAAAAAAAGGGAGCATGCATGGACCAGAGGCATCCCCCACTTTGGGTGTGGTGGCTCCAGTGCCTTACCTGGCTCTCCATGCCTGGAGCACCCCACTGTCCTTGGCAAAAGCACTGCTAGTCAGCGCTGAGATTGTGCCCTCACTGTCCCTCGTGCCAGGAATGTCTTCCCTGTTCACCTGTTTCTCCCTGAAAGGGTCAGGCACCTGCCTTGGGCTCTATTCCACTGTGACCCATGTTTCCCACATGGTTCCCGGTCTATTCCCACAGAGCCCCTTCCTCCGGAGTGCCCAGGAGCTTGGTTAGCAGAGGGAGCTGATGGCTGGTGACTCACGTGTTCTGAGGATATCTTTGCTAGAACCTCAGGGCTGGGTGTGCCCACCACCTCCATGATTCGCTTCAGCTGGTCGATGTCTGCCTGGCTGAGGAAATGCCTACTGGCCAGGAACAGACCCTTCCCAGGCCCCCCGATCCCAGACCTTGGGGCTCTGCCAAAAACCTGCTCTCCTACAGCTGGAACCAGCGAGCCTAAGGTGGCCCAGCGTGGGGCAGAAGAGGCCAGGCCAGCCAGAAAGGGCCAGTGCCCACCTCCCCTGAGCCCCACCCAGAAAAGGGGACCCTGGCTCACCCTCCTCCCCAACCTGGGCCAAGGATACAGTCATTTCCTGGAAAGAGGGCCTTTCCCTGGAGCAGCTCAGCCATGATGCAGCCCACAGACCAGATGTCCACTGTTGGGGAAGGAGTCTCCATTAGCCTGCCCTCCCCAAGGACCCCCTCAGAGAATTAGGGATCTGCCCCGACTGTGCCAGCTCAGTGGCCTCTCGGTCAAACGCAGGCCCCAAAAGAGCAGACCCCCTTACCCCTCTAGGTACAACCCTGGGTAAGGGGAAGAGCTAGCCCAAGACCTATTGTGCTTGGCCCTCTAAGGTCTGTTTTTGCATGATGGTCCCAGACCTTGCCTGTCCTCCAAAGCTGGACACACCTCCCCGACGGCCTTGGTTGTGGCATCATACCCACCCACCCACCCACCCTCCCCAGGCCCTGGTGCGAGCTCTGCCTGCCCACCCTCGTCCAACACAGCACACCTGCCGCTGTGTGGGTTGACATCACCTGTCTGGTTGTAGTGCATCCAGTTGAGCATGATCTCAGGTGCGCGGTACCACCGAGTGGCCACATAGCCAGTCATCTCCTCATCAGCCTGGCGGGCTAGCCCAAAGTCCAGGATCTAGAGCGACCACCAAGCTTGTCAGCACCTCCCTGAATGCCCCCTCCACGGCCGGGCAGCCCCTCACCCGCAGGCGGCTCACCCTAAGCTCGCAGTCCTCGTTCACAGCCACGTTGCTGGGCTTCAGGTCCTGCAGGGCAGGTGGGTTGTGAGTGCTGGAAGGGCACCTGGGCCGGGCCTGCAGAAGCCCCGACCCTCACCCGGACGCCGCACCTACCCGGTGGATGATCCCCGCAGAGTGGATGTACTGCGAGGGGGAGAGGGGGACACGGTGGGAGGGTCAGGCTCGGACCCCGGCACCGCGCCCTGTGCCCGCCCACGCGGCGCCCACCTTGAGCCCGCGCAGCAACTGGTAAACCAGGAACTGGACGTGCTCGTCGCTCAGCGCCTGGCACTTGACGATGTTGTTCAGGTCCGCGCCCATCAGGGTGGTCACCAGGTACCTGGGAGGGGTAGGGGGTCAGCACAGTGGCCCCGCCCCCCACCGGACGCGCTCCCGCGTGGCTGCCACTCACACTTCGCTGAAGTCCTCAATGGAGGTGGCCGGCGTGAACACGTCCAGCAGCCCGATGACCTGCGTGGGGACGGGGGTCATGACTCGGAGCTCCCGCCGGTGCTCCCCCTGGGTGCTGCGTGCCCCGCGGGGAGCCCCGGCCGCCCGGCGGACCGCCCCGGCGCGCCCCGCTCACGTTCTCGTGCTTCAGGTGCTTGAGCAGCCGCAGCTCGCGGTAAGTTCTCCGCGCGTGGATCAGAGACTGGAAGGGTCGCGACAGCTTCTTCACCGCCACCTTCTGGCGCAGCCGCGCGTCATAGGCTGAGCTGCAAGGGCGCTGAGTGAGGCGGCGCGTGGGGGCCCGGCCGAGCGCCGCCGGGCCCTGCTCCTGTCGGGCCTGTTCTTCCCCGCCCTGCGCGTCACTCAGATGGTCCCTCGGGGGGACTGGCACCTGGAAAGCCTCTCCTCTGTGCCTCCTTGGGGCCTGCTCCTTCTTCAAGAGGCAGCCCAGCGGCATTCCAGCCCACAGGGTCCCAGCCTGCCCCACCAGGGAGTCCTAGGGCAGGACCTGGATCTTCCCCCCCAGCTCAGCATGGGGCTGGGGGAGAGTCTCCACCAACCAGGTCAGGAAAACAGCCATTGCAAACCATCCCTTTTCACTCCAAACCGTCCTCCTGCTCCCCTATTGGTTCATGGCTCTGGGAGGCTGCCTCAGGGTTTCCAGAGCCACCTGCAAAGCCCCTGGGTCCCCAACACCTCTGAATATTAAAAATATGGAGGAAAAACTGGTCAAAGGCTTTTACCGCATTATTATTTTTAAGAGTGAGAAACTGGGGGGGCGCCTGGGTGGCTCAGTTGGTTAAGCGACTGCCTTCGGTTCAGGTCATGATCCTGGAGTCCGGGGATCGAGTCCCGCATCGGGCTCCCTGCTCAGCAGGGGGTCTGCTTCTCCCTCTGACCCTCTTCCCTCTCGTGCTCTCTGTCTCTCATTCTCTCTCTCTCAAATAAATAAATAAAATCTTTAAAAAAAAAGAGTGAGAAACTGGGTACTATGAAGTGTCTGGACCCACAGAACATTCCCCTTGCCGCATCCCACTCCCCAGAGGTCCAGATGCTCCACCTCCACACCGGCTTCCACACCCATCTACTCTTCACAGGAGACACAACAGTCATGGGCATCATCTTCAAATGCAAACGGTCTGCCTCCCCCCCCCCCCCAGTCCCTCTGGCCTCAGCATGGGAGCCCTGCTGAGAGCCATCCGCGCTTCCTCTCCCTGATAATCACTCCTTCCCTCCCTTTCACTTCACATCCACTCTCTAGATCCCGCTTCCCCCAGCAACGAGTGGAGTCTACACAGCCCGGGGAGCAGCTCCTGCAGCACCTGGGATGTCCATGGGCCCAGGTGGTGGTGAAGGAAAGCCAGCTATGTGCCTGGGGCATCCACATGACTGTGGCCCGTTGGGGAGGGTCCAGGGAACTTCTGGGGAGGCAGGTAGGGGAGTGACCGCTCCTATGGGGCAGCAGATCCTTTTGCCCAATTGTGTCTGCACAATCGAGTGACAGGGATTTGGCACTGGGTCACCAGCTTCATCAGGAGAACACAGGAACCCAGGAGAGGGCCATCACCTGCGCTGGGCACTGCCCACTAAGTGCAATGGGGAGAGACCCAGGCCTCCTTTGGGGAACTTGATACTCTCTAGGACCTCCCAGAAGGTGATTCTAGACCGGAGGTGATTCCAGCAAGGACTCTATATTCCCCAGGGACCACTCATGCATTATCCTGACCCTCTTCCGGCCCTTGAGGTCTTAGAGATGAAGAGAGAGGCCTGAGGCTGGAATGGATGAAATGGCCAGGCTGAGGATTCTGGCAAGCTGGCCAGTGGCAGCAGATTGGGGAGGGGCGGGGCAGGGAAGAAGCCCTTGCTCCAGGCTCCAGCACTGGACCTCTGGGGGGTTCAGGAAGTCCCACTCTTAACTTTCTTTCAGAGCCAGGAGCAATGCCCCATCCCTAGGGGCTCCGGCCTCCCCACCTCCAAGACTCCCTCAGTGGACTGCAGCCACCTGGCTCAGGCCTTGGTAAGGACCCCGCTGGGTTTTGGGGGGCACCTCTCAACATCCACACCCACAGTCAGCCCGTCAGTATTGCACCTGCAACCGACTTCCTGCAACCACCTTACCCTAAGACCCCCAGTCCCTCCCCAACCCCACACAGGCCTCAGCCAAATCCCAACCCTCTTTCCCACTTCCAGACTGTCCTCTGTCTGGGCCCCAGAGCCCAATTGTGGGGCTGTGGTCTGAGCTCTCTTGGTTAGGGCAAGAAATGGACTGGGGTGTAGACCCCCACAAGTATTGTACGGATAATGGTAGCCATCTCTGCTCAGGCCTAGGCCCCATCCAGAGTCTGAGACCCCTATAAAACGGGGGGGGGGCAGGACCCACCGGGCAGTTTGAGGCCATTCTAAGGGGAGGGATCCTGCCCTCCCCCAAGCTGGGCTTTTTCTTTTGCAAACAAAACTACCCACCCTAGTACCCGGGCATCCGCCAGACCCCAGGGATGCCAGACCCTTGACGGGGGGCGGGGGGCAAGGGACGGGGGGGGCCACCGTAGACGCATGCTTGCACATTTAGGGGCCCGGGAGACCCGCCCTTTCGCCGACTGTGACGCCGCAGGATTTGGGCCTGGTGGGGGATGCTCCGGCTGGGACGGGGCGGAAGAACGACCCCTCTCCCCAAGCCCGAACGGCGCCCGGTAGGAAAGTTTCCTTCACGCCCCCCACCCCCCATTCATTGCTGCGCTCGGTGAAAGGCCCGGGGGCGGAGGCGGGGCGAGGCCCCACCCCACGCCAGGCACCTCGCAAAGGGAGGGGAGGGGGCGCGCGCTCAGTCCCGCCCGCACCTCCCCGCCCTCCCCGCCGCCCCTACCAGACCGAGCCGTAGGCGCCGGAGCCCACCGGGCGCAGCCCCTGCAGCCGCTGCGGCACCTCCCACACCGTCTTGTTGAGCTCCAGCCGGTAGAAGCCTGCACGCGGGCCCGACATGTCCGAAGCGGCCGCCGCCCG